ACTAGCTCATTAGCGGTGTGTGGCAAGAAGGAGAAGCGCAGTTATGCAAGTGTTAGCAGGGCTGTCCCTGCAGAATCCCCAGCCGTCGTCACGGAGTAATGAGCACTGATGTAACAGTACGTTCTCTTCAAAGCACTTTTACAAATTACTCACCGGTGTCCCAGGCATGTTGAAGGATGAGTTTCATGTTACAGAGAGGAAAACTGAGGCACAGAAAGGGGAAGTGACTTAGTCACAAAGTGCATCAGTGACAGAGCCAGGATTACGAATCTGTTCCTGGCTCCCAGTCCTGTGGTCACGCCACACCTTGCTGTAAATGTCACATCCCTGCATCAGCAGAGCTTCTCTTCCACCCACAGCAGCATCTCGTTTGCCAGGGCTAAAAGCCAACACTGCAATCCAGCCTCTTTGCAGCCACCATTCAGGGCTTAAAGCCCTACTGCCCTAACCCTTCTGTCTGTGCATCCCTATCTCCCTCCAAACTAAGTCCAATCCTCACTACTCTCTAAACCCTACAGCTCTAGTAACAACTGGCCTAAACCCAAAGTAATGCACGGCAGCTCTCAGCCAAGCACATCTGCTCTGCCTCCACTCAGTCTGCAGTGCAGTGCAATGAAACTTTCCCTAATCCTCTGCAAGGCTGGGGATAATCCTACATACCACAAAGACTAGCAGGGCTCTTCGCACACACTACACACCAATGCCTACACAAACCAGAGGGTAGCTGGGGCTTCCTGTACAGAGCAAATCATGCAGGGAGGATGAGATGAGTCACTGGACTGGGGAGAGAAGAAGAAAGTGCTCTCTTACCAACTACCCCTCAGAAAGCAGGGCTAACATCAAGAAAGCGGGGTGTTAGATCCCATCAGGCAGTGCAAGAAATGGCAAAGTCCTGGCAGGCATCCTCCTGGGGAAGACACCAGAGATTATGCACTTCAGCATCCGCTGGCAAGGACAGGGCAGACTGTGTCAGAGAGAGGGCGCTCTGTCTCAGGCCACTCTCAGATCCTGGGACAGCACTGGACTGGGTTAGAGGGAGAGGGGGATGGGAGAAGGGTGCTTAACTTAAGGCCTCTGAAGGAAGATGCAGTTTGAGCTGTGTCAAATTTCAGCAGCTGAACGATGAAACCCCGAGAAACCATCGGGCCACACCAAGTTGCTGGGGTTTGCAGCTGTGCATACCTTCCAGCCTGATCCTGCGGGGAGTGATTACAGTGGGCAGGCAAGCCTCGCAGCTGGAAGAAGCCATCTAACCTTCATTGGACGGACAGAGAATCATTACTCACCCCACTGCAGAAGCTGAGGAACATGCCTCCAAACCCATAAAAGGAAACAAACAAATCCCCAAACAGTTAACTTTAAAAATATAACTTTATTACAGCAAGTAACAAGAGAAACCGGTTCAAACAGAAGTGAGAGAGTTTGCCTCCCTCGCCCTCCTTCAGAACTCCTGTAAGAGGCAGGGTCAGTTTTCCTATCCCTTCCCATTAAAGCTGCAGCCTCTTAGAGAGTAGCTTTACTGACCCTCTACACACCATCTGCCAGTCCTACCATTACACAAGCAATGAAACAGCATCGGGGCCACGGGAGCGTTAGTGCCGTTGTATTAAGAACACCGGCTATTTTGTGGATAAGGGGAAGACAGACGGTAACTGCTGTGCAGCATGGTTTCTGGAAAGGATTTTTGGAGTGCTATTTTCCAGACACAGCAGCAGCTTTTGATGCTGTTGCATTGAGCCGTCGGAGGCTGAAGATCAGTCTAGTAGTGGCAAGGCACATCAGCTACAGCCTTGTGTGTCAATCTGCAGAGTGAGCGGCCCTGCCAGCCTGCCTCACCCCTGAGCTGCAGGGGTCACCCCCAGGGCTCCGGTGGTAATTTACGCTACACGCTGGTAGCGACCCTTCTTCGCCTCAGCTGCCAGCAGTGGGGAACATTAACATCCTGGGGGGGTTGTGGTGCGAGGATACTTCTCCGAGGAACAGCTGGTAAATGCTTTTGGTCACTAAGTAACGGGGGCTGGCTTTGGACTAGTCACCCTGCTGGAAAGGGGACTGACTGAGAACAGCATATGAAGCCTGAAGCATCCAGTCCCCAGCCATACATATAACAAGGCAGCAGCACCACGGCCCCCGGCTATCCTAGTTCACTAACAACAGCACCCCTGCCATGCCCCTTCTCGCTTGAATACTGAGCGCTCTATGCACTGAGCCAGAAACATGAAGCAAGAGGAACGTTTACAGGGTGGAAGGAGCAGATTTTTAATCAAATCTCCAAAAAGGAATGGTTTGAAATTGTCCAATATTCTTCTCAGCTAAAGCTTCTCTTAAAGCCCCACCTAAAACCACTGCCTTCTGCAAGAAGCCAGCAGCATGTAAATGCAGATCCCAAGTTCCCAACCCCAGGAGGTGGGTGGTGGAGGGGCGGGGCACATCTCATGCACTGCTCTTTGAACAGTCAGGATTTGTGACATTTTCTGGCCAGCAACAAAACTGGGCTACAAAAGAGTGCCAAAAACTAGAGAGGAAGGGAATGCATGGAATGTGAGAACACCATGCTGGGGGGTGCATTTAAACATTGTCCCATTGAAGTTCACCACTGCTCAGAAGACTGACTCACAGGGTAGGGCGAATGAGGGGTGCCTTAAGCAATACCAGCCCCTTCCACACACCCTATGTTCTCCTTATGTTTGCAGCAGCCGGCAATTCTCTGCTAGCGTGCTGTCATTCATGATGTGCAAAGCAGAATACAGGGGAATACCTCTCTGACAATCTGCCCCACAAATGCACTGACTAGTGATAAAAGCACAGGTGAGAAAAATGAAAGGGCTTGGGTCCGATACATACTGCAACGCCTGGGGCGTCTAACCAAGTGGCTTAACACAGAACAAACATCGCAAATCTCTACCCTGGTGCCAGGAATATGTACAGCAGCTATCTACACCGACACATAAAAAAATACTACTTAGAAAAAAATCTAAAAAATTGTGCAAAAATACCCAGCAGCTTTTAATAAACACATGTCAAGTATTGCTAATGTGTCTGTAACTCTCCTAAACACACTCGCCAGTGTCAGTAATTCACAAGGCAGACTGGTGAACACCTGGTAAGGAGCAGCAACAGGTATGGTGCCACCCTGGGGCAGACAAACTCAGAGGAATCATTCCCAGAGGGCCAGCAGGTGGCCCCACTCTATTCTACTGGCCAGGAATCCAAACCAAGCGCAGGCTAACTGACACCAGCACTCAGGGTAACCCTGCGCCTCCTCAACGCTGGAGCCCACTCACACTTTAGCCATCTAGTGTTGGGCAGAGGTCTGACAGGTGACCATCTAAGGGCAACATCTCCCCATTACACCCACAAAATACTTTGCTTATTTTGTTTCTAACAGTTAAAACTAGGAACTCCTCTGGCCTGTATCCTTGCATGGCTTCTTACTGGCTGAAATGGTTACAACAATAGGAAGGGTTGGTCAGCACCTTCTCTGTGACCAGGTGAGAGCCAGCACTGAACAGCAACTGGGATGGCACATCTATTTCCCTGCCTATGCTCACTGCCCCATATGGGTCTGGACCCTCAGAGCTCTCCCCAGCACCTGGGAACGAGAATGTTATCCCAACCAGCCAGCTGCAATTCTGAAAAGTAACGGTGCTGCCGGGAAAGGGACGCTACATATTCCACAGGCCCAGATGGGATCGTAGTTTATACTGACACATGAAGCGGCCCCTCACACTCCTGGGGCAGAGATGCAGGAGGCACGTGTAGAGACACAGCAGGGAGACCTAGCTTTCAGCCTTCATCATCCCCAAACACCCAACCCCCAATCTAGAATGCAGCCCTGGAGATGGGACATGGACTCCCCATCCTCCGCCCCCACAAGGCCCGGCAGCCCATTCAGCTAATCCCTGCAGGAAAGATGGCAACTCTCTGCAGCGGACACTCCAAGCTTGGATGGTTCTGAGAGGTTGGGGTTTCCCAAGCAGCCCTTCTTGCTTCCCAGCTGTGGTTCGAACCCCTCTCCCTGGGTGAGGCCAAGGTCTTGCTCGGCATCAGGCTGGAGCAGCTGAAAATCCAGGTAAGCCACATCACAGTGAAACAAAACAATAAATAAATAAAAAAGTAACGCCTGGTTTGACTGAGTCTTTGGCAGCTCTGCACGACAGGGCTGTCTTGCCTGAGGTCAGGGAGATAACGGGAAGGTACTGACTGGAGCTAGGCACAGGCACGACAGGCACTGGACTACATCACAGCACCACTAGGGAATGCCTCCTACCATGCTGGTGTCAGTCTTGGCTCCAAAGGAGGGGATTTCACTCTTGGGACTGGACGGGGTCCCAGCATCAGGCTGGATAAATCCTCTTCTGTCTATTAAACTAGAAAACAAGATGGGAAAAAAGAGGGGAGAGGTTAAAACAGCAACGTTCATCAAGAAACAAACCCCCGAAGCTGTGTGCTAAGCCAACCAGTGATGCTATAAAAATGAGTTGCTAGCACCTATTGAGTCAACAATATAATACTGGTGCAAAAAAGGTGAACACAATTCTGGGATGTATTAGCAGGAGTGTCGTAAGCAAGACACATGTAGTTGTTCTTCCATCCTACTCAGCACCGATAAGTCCTCCACTGGAGTAGTGTCTCCAGTTCTGGGCACCACATTTCGGGAAAGATGTGGACAAATTGGAGAAAGTACAGAGGAAAGCAACAAAAATAAAGATCTAGAAACATGACCTACAAGGAAAGACCGAAAAAAATTGGGTTTGTTGAGTTTATAGAAGAGAAGACTGAGGGGGACACGATAACAGTCCTCAAATATGTAAAAGATTGTTATAAAGAACAGGGTGATAAATTGTTCTCTTTATCCACTGAGGACAGGACAAGTAGTAATGGAGATTTAGGTTAGACAAGAAAAACTTCCTAACGGTCAGGGTGGTTAAGCACTGGAACAAATTACCTAGGGAGGCTGTGGAATCTCCATCACTGGAGGCCTTTAAAAGCAGGTTAGACAAACACCTGTCAGGGATGGTGTAGATAATACTTAGTCCTGCCTCAGTGCAGGGGCCAAGCCTAGATGACCTATCAAGATACCTTCCAGTCCTATATTTCTGTGATTCTAGCAAACCCTGACAGCATTTGATCATTAGCACAAGACAGCTGTGTCTGTCCAGAGATTAGGGAATTTGAATGCACTCAGGAAAATCCCCTTGGCCAAATCTCATGAGGGTGACTGGGGAGAGGGAACAGACTCCGCACACAGGACAGCACTTAACTATGGCTCAGACTTTTCTTGTGAATGTTTTCAAACACTTGTCGCTTAAACTCCAAGGTGACCGGCAAGGCTATGCACACCCACCTGAGCCCAAACACTTAGCACTCTGGGCAGGAAGGCGTTTCTTCAAATCTCTTGGTGTGAGCTGAGTGCACCTGGAAGCTGCTGGCTTGTCCACCCTGGACAGTCAAGTCCCCACTGCAGCCACAGAACCAGTACCATAGTGACAGCAGCAGGGTAAGCTTCCCCAAGCCCTGCTTGTCTCTTTGTGGGGACTGCTAGACAAAGTGTCAGTGGGGGGGATGGATGATATGGGTTCCTGAGCACTCAGAACTAGAGACAAAGTTGTGTCACTACTGTGGTAGGCTGGAGCTGGAGAGGCCCCCTAGAGCAGGAGTGAAATACTATTATCCCATTAGCAGTCGTCTGCCTCCCAGTGCTCTCAACATATTTAAATAGATTAGCTCACTTACTATCATGGACTCCATAGTAACAGTGACACTGAAAAGGACAAGAACCTTGGGAAGTATTTTAGAGGGAAAAACAAAACCCTCCTTAGCTCATGGTGTAACAGCCCTCCTGAGCACAGGTTAAACAACAGCTGACCTTCCCTGAATTATTTCATTACACTTACATTGGGCTAGTATTTCTGGAATCCTCCCAGTAAGTTCAAATTGGTTCCTCCCAGCAAAAGAAACACTGTCTCAAAAGTGCCTGAAGCATTCAACAGGCTGAGAGCTACAAAACGTGGGTTGGGATGAAACTCCCAACCACCCAACCCAAGAGATTATTTTAAATTTGCCCGACTGCGCCCTCATGTGACTAAACCATGGCAGTTTTATTTTTTGATGGGATTAGATTCATAGCTGTTAAAGCCAGAAGGGACCATTCTGATCGTCTAGTCTGAGCGCCTCAGATGGAAGATGTTAGGCAGGTTACAGAGGGTTTTTGTTTGTTTGTTTTTTGAAAGGTACAAACCAGGTTTCATTAAATGATTTTTTTAAACTGCAATTCAGTTTAAGCAGTGAACAACATTGCCCCAGGAACTCTGCAACCCAGGGACCCTGCCCCGGGGAAGAGCAGAGGGGGGAACTCACTGGTCTGGTTTCATTGTCCAAGCCCAGTGAAAAACAAGAAGCAAATCAGCACAGTTGAGGAAAAGTCAGAGAGATGTTTGGCATTATTCCTTCCTGCTTTAATGACAGTTGCAGATAATTCACAGGTAAGGGAATTTGTCAGGATCAAATTAAATAGGAAATCATTGTGTCCTTTTAATGCAAGAGTCTCCAAATTGTCTGAGTAAGGACAGCATTGACTACTTGCCAGAAGGCTAAGGTTTCCAGCATACTGCATAAAATGGAGAGGATTGCAGTCAACCCCATCTCTGATAGAGGTGAAGACCTCCACAGACCACATATCCCAGCATGCAATGCTCCATCTTGATCTGAAAAGCAGCTGCAAGATGCATGTAGAATTCCAGCCACTTAGAGATGACCTGCAAAGGAAAAAACTGGGCTGGTGCCCCTTAATTCTCCTTCTTTATAGTGGATGATGGTGGGATGGAAGGGGTTTTGATGCTTGTTTTTCACCTTAGAAATATTAGGTATGTCAAGTCTGCTCTCACCTGGAGATCCTGGAGCTGTATCAAGAGCACATTTAGCAAGAGCCCTCCTGCCTTCTTTGACAAGTGAGGAGTGAGACAAAGCTCTCTCCCCCGCAGGCGGTCAGTTAGTCATGGAAATTAAAGAGTTGTATAATAATAATAATAGCAGCTTTATTTAACCACAGTCTAAAATCTGTACTCTCCCGATCACTCAGCTTTCACTGCCTTGAGTCTGGTGAGTGTGTCATTCCACTCGTTCTCCAGTCACCAGAGACTCTGCCAGGGCAGACAAGACCTGTATTTGTAGTGTAAAAACAAGCAGTGAAGAACTTCTCCATCACCCAGAAGTCAGATGTATTGGGAAGTCCTTTGCAGGGCACCTTTAAGCCCAGGGTTATTCTTTATGTAGTGCTAAAGCTCACAGGCTGCATCCGTTAGCCCTCCTGAGGTCCTTAGGGCACTGGATTTTTAAATATCTAAAGAGGAAACACACATCTAGTAAATCTGTCCATAGCAAGCGGTTACCATTCGCTGCTGGGCCCGCCTGTAACAGGCACATCCCACCCTTACTATACTGCAGGGGGGAATTCCAGTTGCACTCAGTTTACACCCTACAATGAAGTCTGAAGTGCCCTGAATTAAGCAGATTTCGATGGATGAAAAGTAACAGTCAGCACTCGCCTAAACATTTACCTCTCCCTCTGGGCCTGAGCCTCAGAATTACCCTCCCCACCCTGCACGAGAGCCCTGGGCCATCGCTTTGGCCTGGCTCCTGGGAGCCAGTATTAACCTCGCCTGTCTCCACCTCCGCATGTGGCGGCAGTGTCAGGGCAGGGTGCAAGTCCCGAGTCCAGTGCGGATCGGAGGCTCTTACCTGGGATGGAATGGCCCACACAATACTGCACAGCAGTTGGTGAGGATACTCTTATGGCTGTAGGGATTGGCAAACTCTGAGCCTCTCTTATTTGACCACGACCCTTTGATCTGCAATTGAAAGGACACAGGCTGATTAGAAAGCGACAGCCTGGCGAGAGCACGGAGATGGTCAGTGCACTGCCCAGGTCACATGGGAGGAGGCCTTGGCACACTCTGCTTGAAAAGCCCAGGACTGAAGTGACCCAAGCCAGCGCAGAGGGGTGTGGAGCTTTGCACTGTGCCCCACAACACGGCTCTCGCTTCCCTGGGCTCTAAATCCTCTCCACGGCAGTGCGGCTAGCTGAGAGAACAGCACTGTGTGAGACAAAGCTTCCCCCTCCCATTGCACCAAGCAACCTTTAGCGGGCCTTCTGCAGCGCGCGTCCTCTCTAGAGCAGTTCGCCCTTCTGCCTTTGCCCAAGCTTAGTCTCGGTCACAATGCCCACTAGTTACACGTTTCCCACACCATGTACTATGCATCACACTTTGTGTAGTGTTGTAAACCCCCCCACCCTCCCATCCCTTTGTTACACTTCAGTCGTTTCTTGTTTGCCAAATGTAGACTGAAAGCTCTACAAGGCAGGGGCTTATTTCTGTAAAGCACATAGGGCACTTACAGAGCTAAGCTAGCAGCAAGAGGGGTCATAGGCAGCTCTGTTAATGTAAAGAAACCCTTTAGTTTCTTCATGCTGAGCACCCACAGGAGCCTGTTGAAGGAAACACTGTCGCCTTGAAATCTCAGTCATGTCAGCTGTAGGAATTAGATGGCGTTCCAGATCCTACCTCTGCCCCTGAGCCTCGGCCAGCTTGTGAGAGTTTACAATCACACTTCCCCTTTTTACTTCCTTTCCCCGGCTGCTGTGACAAACAGGCCACTCAAGCAACACGGGAAACTGACAGACAATGCACCAGTCACGCTGTGTAACTCCCATTGACTTTAGTGGGAATCTCAGTTGTATAACCGAGAGCAGAAATTGCCCCAAAGTGCTGTTAAATGCACTAAGTAAAAGAGTAGAGGAACCCTTCTCTCTGAGACAGCAATTGTGTCACTTGTAACAACAAGGTGGTACAAATATTTCAGACAGAAGGGTGATTTTCAAATCCCTTTAAGTAACCAGACATATACAAACAGCTACGCTATCTAGGTACTTATCAGACCCCCATTACAGTAGTAGCTGAACATGTCACAATCTTTAATACATTTATCTTCATAACACCCCTATGTATCAACTCCCTTTCATAGAGAAAGGATCAAGGCAGAGAGAGAGAGAGAGACACACACACACACACACACACACACAATGGGACTTGCCAAAGTCACACAGGAAATCTGTGGCAAGGCAAGGAACTGAACCAAGTAATGCCCACCGATCAAGCCTCCTTCCTCTCTATTGCTCTCTTCATGGTCCAAATATTAACAGAGGCCATGTCTAGACTGGGAAACAAGTCATGCTTCAAAACATGTTAAGCTCACATGTTTTAACGAACATGATTTTAAACAGGACTTTGCATCTAGTGTACACAAGGCAAGTCCTGTTTACAAACATGTTAGCTGGTCGTGGTCCATCTTAGGGGCAGCCCAAAAGTTCAAGTGTATTAGCTAGTATTTTAAAATATGACCTCTTTTCCTCGTCTCCACACAGCCAAGCAACACACACCGCTCGCCCTTTTGAAACCCATGCACTCTGCCTGTGTGCGCATGCGGGATCATGCTCTGCTGGGCTACTCAAATTAAAGTGTAAACTCTGGGGGCAGCCCAAAGGTGCTATCTTTTATCTGCTCTGTAATAAAGTGCTACAAGCACCTAGGGCCTGTCAAGATAACTTCCTCTAACACACTTCTGCAGAGACAGCAACAGATTTTTGGCTGATCGCTTCACTGATTAGAAAGGAATGGGCTTCACGCCCAGAGGTGCTGCTTACCCCTTTCTGGTCCCACTCTATGGAAGGAGACACACACGGATACTTACGTCTTCATTCGTCGTCAGGTTGGAGGCGACTAGGTAAGTGTGAAAACCTGAGAGGCCCAAAATAGACCAGACTGAGAAAAAACATATCACCAACTCCAGCACGGTGGAAAGAGAGTCAAGGAAGCCTCCGAGACCACACACACCCCCACACAGCAAGGGGAGGCCTCGGGTCCAAGTAATGGAGGCACTCTTAGCAACTAGTAATGGTCTCAAGTTGCAGTGGGGGGAGGTGTAGGTTGGATATTAGGAAAAACTATTTCACTAGGAGGGTGGTGCAGCACTGGAATGGGTTACCTAGGGAGGTGGTGGAATCTCCTTCCTTAGAGGTTTTTAAGGTCGGGCTTGACAAAGCCCTGGCTGGGATGATTTAGTTGGGGTTGGTCCTGCTTTGAGCAGGGGGTTGGACTAGATACCTCCTGAGGTCCCTTCCAACCCTGAGATCCTATGAACCGTGAGGACTCTTGGTGGGGGGCACAAGCACAGGGACTTAGGGAGGGTCATTAAGGGCTCAGCAAGGTGCCCTTGCTTTTGAGTGGCTGGCTGAGACTCCTAGCAAGGAATTGGATTCCCACCCCTACCTCTTACATTAGGGGAAAAGGGTCTGCCCTCGCTAGCAAAGGAGAGTGCATTCCAGCCAACAAAGCAGGCATGCAGCTTCCTTCCCACTGTCTGTGCTATTCTGCGAGTGCCCATCAAGGGAGAACTCACTACGGCCAATGACATCCCCCGTTTTCCATGTGTCCTCCCATGTGTCAGAAAGGGAGCTTGTTTCCAACCCTCGTCTGTGCATCACCGAGCACAAGGTACTAGTCTGGCACTGGAGAAAGAGACCGTGTCTTGAACAAAGGGTCTCACCAGCTTGGCTACAGGATCACCACCACCTCTTGTAAATGCAGAGAAGTCTGCCCGTCCCCGCCCTGTGGTGTAAGGAGGCTACGTGCATTAGGGTTTGTAAAGTATAGTGACAGAAGGGGCTTATTGTATGTTGTAAATCAGAGAACACTTTTCCGAGACCTATAGCTTTAGTATCTCTGCTCCAATACCCTGCAGGGATCCAGCTGTGTCAGCATACAAAAAGGGGAACAGATGGGAAGGTGCAGGCTTTAAAAGGATATCTCGCCGGTGTTGCCTTCAGAGTGGTGAGGAATCCACTTCCCTGAGAGCCTACAAAGCAAACAGGACAAGATATTGAAATCAAGAAGGCACAGGTACATCTCCAGCCAATTTGTCCTGCTTCAAAGTACACACACCTGCCAAAGGCTACATGGATCTGCCCAACTGACTGAGAAACCCCCGCAATCTAGATGCTGGTGTGCAGCACGTGCTCCAAGAGGTTCAGGGGCTGAAAGGCAAGCTGCCTTCTATCAGAGGCCATGACTAGACGTAGATGCAATGTATACATACACCTCCAACCCACTGCAGCCCTGACAGAGTCTATATCCTACTTGCTAGGGAGGGCAATAACCCACTCACCAAAACTCTCAAACAAAATAAGGTTTACAGTTCACTACTGCGGCCCTCGACCAGTTCATCCAGATGACCAAGCAGTGAAAGGCCCTGAATCTCATGATCGTCACCTGAGCCATCCATCACCTAGTCTGATACAAATTTAGAGGCTGCTTCCCTGTCTGTGCTAAGCCAGGTGCCCATGGTGATGACCTGAGTTTACCTTGGTCAGGAGGGCGATGCACGTGTTACTCTCAGCGGCCGCAGTACTTACGCAGAGTGAGGTGGGTGACGACACAAGCAAAAATGAAGGCCGTCAGGAAGGAGAGGGAGAGGATGAAGGCGTAGAAGTAGCGATAGTTGCGCTTCCCCACACAGTTGCCTACCCAGGGGCAGTGGTGATCAAACCGCTCTGAAACAAGGCAGAAAGGGAAGGACATTAGAACAGCTTACTCCCCACAAATGGGTGAACACTGCAGAGCCTCTGGGAACCTCGGGGCTACAAGCCAGCCCTTTGCCCTACCCTGCCAACCTAAGATTTTAACCCAGTACCTCTGAATGACAGGACACCATCACTATATTTATATAGTACTTTGCAATCTGTATATGTGCCCTTCTTTAACTTTATACGGACACCAACCTTAAAAAAATCACTTTACCAGAATACTGTTCTAACTAACTGTGGTTACTTGTAATACCTACAATTACTAAATCTGAAAGACATTAGAGAAAATGCATTTCTATTTCTTCAGTCTGTATACTTTGTGCCTTTGACAGAACTGTGGGGACTCAGTTTCACTGTTCCCTTGCATTAATCAGTTTCCCCTGTTCATGTGAAGAGAAAAAGCATTTTAAAAGTTAGGAAAATTTGATTGTAAAGCCACAAAGATTGGCAAGGGAACCCAGAGCAGATGCAATATACCTGAAAATACTTCTGACTCTTAAAAGAATGGACTAGATTTCAAGTTAGCAGAGCCCTTTTAACAATAGTAGCACTGCTGGCAAAACACGCACACCACTTTACCCACCACTGAAATGCAGCCACCTCTGAGGTGAAACTTAGCAACTCTTTCACAGCTCATGGTAACATTACCTAAGAGTTTAATACAGGATGTGAAGAATATCCTATCCAGTTGAAACCGCCAGGGGACTTTAGGATGGCAGAATGAAATTACCCACACAGAAATTTTGCCAAGACACATGGGTTAACACTCCTCCGCTAGCAAAAAAATGTACCAAGCCATCTTTTATAACCACAAGCGGCCAGGACCTCCAACTTAGGTCTCACCCAAAAAACTGCAACTCTAGCAGCACAGCACTGCTTAATACTAGGCTGAGGCTTTGGTTCAGAAGGAAGAATGCCAGCTACTAAAACCCGAAGCCTCCTGGAGGTCTCCCATTCAAGCAATGCTCAGGCCTGACCAAGCTGGGTGGGGCTGCATCCTGTGCCACCGAGCGACTCTCGCTGATGTCATGCCTCATCCTTGAAAGCCATTCAGTAGCTCCTCAAACTCCCTGTCTTTGAGCCATCTTCTTTAGACAGGTGACCTTGAATTTTGTGGCAGTTCTCAAATCAGTAATTTCATCTGTCCCCAAGCTGCCCCAGCATCCACAACTGTTAGTGCAACATGCTGACTGGAACAGGTTGTACTCAGATAGGCGGACAATGAATGAAGTGTGCTCAGTGGACCTGCCATTCACCTATACTCCACCATCCTGCCCATACGTCGCACCAGACTGACCGCTTTTTAAACTGCTCCTCCAGAGACTCTAGACTATGCAGGAACCTCACTGCCACACCATCTCCTGCTGCATCACAGTCCCCCTCACATCTGCCAGTGTGGGTGAACCCAACCCTTTTTTTCCACTCCTTATTCAGCCTCCAGCTCTCCCTCCCATCTAGCACCAGGCGCCATGGGGCAGAAAGGCTAAAATAGAAGATATGCTGGCCCCTCTGCTTCACATTAGCCTTGACTGCAACACAGAGTGGCCAAGGGACCAGAGATCCTGCAGCTTTATTTCATACCCAGATGCTTGGAGGTTGGTTTAAATAGGAGATATGCTGCATTTCACCAGTGCAATCCTACCTGGTACTATTGAAGAGAAGGCATTAGAGCACAGCACATGCTGTACCCAGCCCACAGGCCACCGTTGGCACTGTACAGATCTGTCATTAGTTAGAAGTGGGGAGAAAGGAGAGAGATTATTGTATCACAAGTTTGTTAGTTAGTTTTCAAGCCCTTTATGGTGAAGCAGAAAGGTTTTTGCTCAAGAGCTTAAACTAGACCCCCATTTATCTATGCAGATTTCTCCTGCTCCTGATCCCCTCGGACTTACCTACACAGTTATCACAGACGCTGCAGTGAGAGGTCCTGGGGGGTCGGAACATTTTGCAGGTATAGCAGTACTTTAATTTCACCACGTATTTGTTTATAACCACTTCCATTGTCCGGGCAGGTGGGCGGTAGGTGGAGGTGCCCATGCTATCTGTGGAGTGAAAGTGAAGTGGGAAGAGTCAGACTCTCACAGACCTATTCCACAGGGCACCCCAGCCATCGCGGGCTTGCTCCTCTCTTGCATGGCACAGCGCCGGCTGGTATGCACTGTGCTGTGCTCATTCATATCTAATCTGAAAGCTGGAGAGGCAGCGTGATCTAGGGGACTGAGTTCAAGATGGGAGCCAGGACCTCCAGAGCTCTAATCTTAGCTCTATGCATTACTCAGAGTGTTATTTAACCTTTGTGCCACAATTCCCCTTCTGTTCAACAGGGATGACACTGATCTCCTTTGCAGGGCTGCTGAAAGGAATTAATGTCAGTCCACGCTTTGAAAATCAGAGGCACTATATACATAGTGAGCATTAAAGCAGCACTCTACCATTAACTCATCTCTAGAACACAGAGGAAGGAAGCAAAGCTCCTCTCTAACAGTTCTCAACCAAAGGAAGTAACAAGCTCTTAACACACATGTGATTCTTCTACAACCGTTCTGTGCACCAGCAACACAGCTACAGGTTTCAGAGTAGCAGCCGTGTTAGTCTGTAGCCACAGAAAGAACAGGAGTATTTGTGGCACCTTAGAGACTAACACATTTATTTGAGCATAAGCTCTCGTGGGCTACAGCCCACTCCAACGGAAGCATAGACTGGAACGTATAGTAAGGAGATATATATACACATCCAGAGAACATGAAAAGGTGGGAGTTGCCCTACCAACTCTAAGAGACTAATTAATTAAGATGAGCTATTATCAGCAGGACAGGAAAAAACTTTTGTAGTGATAATTACACATATTGAATCTATTTCCCCATGTTAAGTATCCTCACACCTTCTTATCAAACTGTCTGAAACGGGCTATCTTGATTATCACTACAAAAGTTTTTTTCTCTCCTGCTGATAATTGCTCATCTTAATTAATTAGCCTCTTAGAGTTGGTAGGGCAACTCCCACCTTTTCATGTTCTCTGTATGTGTATATGTATCTCCTTACTATATGTTCCATTCTGTGCATCCGATGAAGTGGGCTGTAGCCCACGAAAGCTTATGCTCAAATAAACAGCTACAGTTAAGGAGCAGTAGCCTTTGGGGGCATGGTCATGGGAAGCCCTGTCCTTGCTTCCCCTGAAGCCAGCAGGAGCTCAGCTCCAGCCGGTGGCCTGGAGCACGGGCTTGCAGTCAGGGGCTGGAGCGGCTTGCCCTGGCAGGGGGTGAGGAGGGGGAAGGAGGGAAGGAACAGGCCTTGGCTTCGGCCGCTGGGGGGGTCACTCAGGGCTCTGGAGGGTGGGGCCTCAGGCAGAAGGGGAGTGGCCAGGGAGCTAGCCTTCCTGAAGGGGAGGTTCATCCACCGCCCATGGGCAGGGTGGCTTAGCAGTAGAATTGGGGGCAAGGTGGAGGGGTGATCTCTTGAGTGTTTCAGACAGATCCCATTGAAGTTTGACACATACTAGTAGCACAAGTGGAATTTACTTCCTCTAAGGCCACGGTTAGAGATTTTTCAGGACACTGCAAGATACACTTCTGCATGCAGCCAGAGGGTGCTGTCCTGGATGGGTGCAGTGCTGGGAAAGGCAGCTTTGGACATTCATGCACATCACTTAAAAAAAAAAAAGCCCTTTGATATCACAATAGGGAGGGCATCACATGCTTTTGAGGGCTTCAAAAACCTGATTTGACACAGTCAAGCATGTTAAGAAGAAAATGAATGGACTGTATTAAGAGCAACAGCTGACATGACAGGTAGCCCCTGCAGTGGGCTAGTGGACTAACTACTTCAGGGGATTTTGAAACAGAAAGTGAAGCAGACAGCTAGCTAGTTTTAAAAATCACCCACAAAATGGTTATCTGGTCAGATAGAGAGAAATTATTTTTCTTTGATCATTTCCAGAAGTCTCACAGTAGCTAGAGCATTCGTTACTATGGGTAACGCACCACAAAAAGCAGGCCACATATTCTGAACATACACACTTACCGTCATATAGCCATCATAAAAACACAAACATACATTACATTACATCAATGCTTGTCCTCTTATAAGAGCTAGGATGAGCTGTGAATACAGGAGTCCTACCAGGCTAGTGACAAATCCTAGCACCTAAAAGCATTAATTCCCAAATTCATTACCCTAAATTCACAATCTGCAGAATAAATGCCCAGTGTAAATACAAGCTCTAACTAGAGATTTTAAGTCAGTTTCAATCAAGAGGAAGATTCCGCTGGATGTGGATATGAGGACTGTTTCAAATTCATTCATAAATTGTAATAGGACTTTATACTGGGCACTCTGACTCAACTATTTTGGCTATTCGTTTGGCAACAGGGTAAGAAGATATCACGATACATAGCCAGGGGGCTCAGTATCTAGTCTACAAGTCAGTTACTGGGATCAGCTACCTATTTCTGAACTTCTAAAAGAGGGACAGTCCAATGGGGAATCAGAGTGTGGGTAGCTAGCAGCAGCAGCTGTTGAGGGAGGGCTGAGGAGAGTCTTCTGTTGGCACTGGACTCAGTTGTACGATATGCTGCATTAATATTAAGGCTGGGAATTTCAAAGGAGCCTAAAGGAGTTAAGTACCCAATTCCCACTGAAATTCAATCGGAATTGGGCACCTAACTCTCGTAGGTTGCTTTAAAACCCCAGCCTACAGTTTTATGTATAGGTGCATTATTATTATTTATCAGCACAATGTAAGCACAGCACAGTCTGTATAGAACAACACCCCTATTCCCCTCCGCCCAAGCCTCGGCACAATTACATCTGGGCCTACCTAGCATTATTACAATTGCATTCAACTAACTGAGACGCACAGCCTTTGAGAACTAGCAGAGAAAAGGGGTCTAAAATGCCTTTTTAGGCAAAATAATCTTGGACCAGTCTCCATTGTCTGCATTTTTACATGAGTGGAGATTTGTTGTGGTTTATCAGAAGCTGCTCTGAAATCCACAAAACTGTCAGGCGTCTCTAGCAGGGCAGCAAGATACTTTGCCCTTGGGTAACACGTGGGGATGTTCTCTGTGGGGTCTAACACAAGACGGGCTTTCCGACAACCCCACATGAGCGTTTGCCCCAAAAGGTGTCAGACAAAGCTTCACAGTCACAAAATCCAGGGGAACTGGTCTCAGATGCTCTGGATGTGGCCTGCAATTAGCAGCGTTACCCAGAACTCCTTCCCAGTGCCAGTTCTAGTCACCAAAACCAATGGAGATGATCACAGTCAAAAACAAAACAAGGGCTTTGTTTTTCTCTGCTCCTATCAAGACTTTTTATCTGATCTACCAGAACATATGCGGGGCTTGAAGAGCTTACTCAACACATACTATGATTAGCCTACCAACCAAGGTGAAAAAACACCTGGGCTACCACATTTCCTGCCGTTGAAAGGAGTAAGAATAAATTCTTAGCACTTACATAGAACGCTTCATGTTCAAACAGCTTCACAAACATTATCTAATTAATCCTCCTAGAAGCCCTGAGAAGAAGGGAGGTTGGTATTATATCCATTTTACAGACAGGGAAACTGACGCAGTGGTGAACTGACTTTTCCCAAAAGCACAGAGAGTAAGTTTCATAACCAGGACTAGAACTCAGGGCTTCTCCAATCCCAGCCCTGTGTTTCAACTGCTGTCTGAACCAGCACACCTCTCTCTACTCCACACTCTAGGACGAGAGTAATAGCACAGTATTTAAGAGCATGGTACACAGTCACTCTGAACTGATGATTTCCCATAATGGTACTTCAGGCTGAGGTAACTGGTACTCCAGGCTCTCCCTCAATTAACCTCTGTGCTGGGCCGCTGCCCTTCTACTACCTATTCCACTCCCGGGAAGCAAGAAGCCAGCTGAGCTCCATGGCAGGAAGAACACATAGAGTTGACTGTAGTGTTTGGTACAGTACATAGTCCGGGAAATTGGTACTGTTGGTACATAATCCGGGAAATTGGTACTGTTAACCAAAAGAGTTTGGGAATCACAGTTTTAAACAGAAGAATAAATTACTTCTAATTCTACATCTCTGAAGATACCCAATCTTGGGACTCAGCTTGCTAGCACTAGACAGGTCAGATAGTCCCCTCCCATCATCACCTGCTCTTTAGATTTTTGGCCCTCTGAGACACCATCAATTGGACACAAGTGTGTGTCCTTAGACTCTACTCCAAATGCCATCTCCCATCAAAACCTTCCCCATCTACTGCTAGGGTGCCAAGGCTCAAGAGAGGGACCCCCAAATGCCTTTAAAGAATTAGCTTTTTCTAACACATGCGCATGCGCAGTCCACAGTAAATGCATGACAGAAAGGCTCACCAATCCGTTTCTCCAGGTCTGCAGCCTCACTGGGGGTGGCTCTGGGCAGAATACCTGGGTCTCTGAGGCTCGTCTGCAGCAGACAGCTGATGACAAAGAAGAACAGGACACCCCCGATGATGGGAATGGCCAGGGTCAGGTGACTGGCAAGGAAGGGGCAGCTGTAAATAATTAGACAAACAAGTTTTTTTATATTCCCTGCATTCGCCCACAAGCTCCTCGATCAGCTGCTCTAATGACTACTGTTTATTATTTGAATGGGAGTAACGCCTAGGGGCCCCAACTAACACGGCTGATTTTGTCATGAAGATGGGACCTAAGTTCCAGAGCCAGGGAGTCCATGTGAAGAACAAATCATACTTTGTTTCCCAACACTGAAGTGAATGACTGGTTAGAATGTAACAGCCTCCATACAACCAGGACACTGCCTGACTCCTGTACGTACCCTATTGATGTGTGCAGACTCAGGGGAGGAACAGTTCTAGGGTGCTTTTCAATGGAAAGAGCCCCCAATACTTTACAAACTATATACCCACAGCACCACTGACATGCAGCCACCTCTGGAGTGGCAGGCAACAGCCAGTCATAACACAGCACAATTGTGGGTGGGAATGTGGGGAGGGGGCATTTGGGGGAAAACCCGGCTCTTAAGTGTCCCCATTATATTTCTTTGGAGATACAGAATCGTGTCTCAAAGATCAGTGAGATGTTGGGAAGTCAAGTTACCTTCTGAGAAAATGACATCAGTGAGTATCAAGGATGAATGAGTTATGTGGGAGCCTTTTATGGACCTTTCTGTACAGACAATGGGTCAAATTCAGCACTACTGCGATTCCATTTGGCCCAGCGTGTGAAGCTGAAGGGGAAACTGGCCCTGGTTCTATTCAGATTTGCCATCTATAGATGACATTTGTCTCCTTCATGCTGCACCAGGCGTTTAAAAAGGGACACATTTCTGTACCAGACGCAGCTGTAACATGAGCCAATGCACGTCTAAATCAATAACTTGTTTCCAGGCATGCAGCTGGCTTGCTGCTGCTGAACAGGTACAGAGAGCCATCAATAGTGACTGCATCCTGGAGACAAGGGCCCACCTTTGCCCTCCCATGAGGACAATGGGAGGGCAGGCTCAGGCACTCACAGCAAGACAGTTAAGACTTCTAAGGCACGCAGCTGTTCACATAATGCAGCGCTGGAGTCCCGCTCCCACTCCTCACTCTGCAAAGGGATTTTACTATTATAAGCACTGATAATCACTCCGACTCCAACCCAGACACGCAAGCTGTCCGACTCCCTGGTGTCCATGGACAAGAATCAGTCTCACTATACAACGAGGCAGTTCAAAGGGATTAAGAGAACTTTTGTTTCAACTCCCAAGCTCAGCTGTCCAGAACAAGACAGCCACCAAACAACAAACCCCCACTGGACTAGAACCAATTCCACCACCTAGCGCAGCCATGCGCTTTCTTCTTTACAGATGGACAGAACAGTCTCTGAAGCAGGGTGGATTGATTTAAGTCAAAGTGATTTAAATCTCTGATTTTAATCATGATTTAAACCAGCAAGCAGAAAACCTTGATTTAAATGATCAATTTTAATCATGTTTATACTTTTTAGATATTTTCCTAAAGGAAGATTGAGTCTCATTGATTGGAAACCTTTAAAACATGTTGATTTACAACTAAATATAATCTTTATGCTAAATTTGGTACTTCTTTTTACTAACCAGGAGCATACACATTTATTTAAGCAATTACTGTATATAGTTTAACTTACATTTATTCAGATTTTTAATTTTTACATTTTTATGTTAGAAAATGGTGAATGATGCATTTATTATTTGCCAGATGACTGGTTTTGTTTTTTTACTTGTGATTTGTGCCCAGCTCCATTTGGATGGAAATTCAATTTAAAATACACAATAATAGCATATAATTTTTTATTAAATAAAAGTACCTTAAATGTGCAGGATACATAAGAAAAAAGTTTATCAAAACATGTTTTGCATCTAAAACTCATTTATTAAACAAAGGAAGTATCTGTAGTTAGTGAACTGAACTGATTGTTTCTAATCATCATGTCCTTCAAGATGTTAGAATTCTCTCGTAACTAATTTTTTAAAGATAGATCAGAAGAGGAAAACAAGCTTTTCCGCTTCTTCAACTCTTGGTTTTGTAACAGTGAATGAACTAGTCATTGAACTGAACTAGATGAATAAACCGAAATGATAAAAATATTCTCTCTGCACCTGCAGAAGAAGCTATTGCTGATTTAACACTTCAACAAACCCTGGTTCCAGGTGCTTACACAGCTGAACTGGTGGAACTTTCTTTAAAAGTGAGCAGGAGACACGTACTACTTAATCTATTAAAATCATTTAAATATTAAATTAAAAAATATGATAAATTTAGGCCTTAACATAGGCTAACGATTTTTAATTTGATTTTAAAAGTGTATTAGTTAAAACTAAACCTGCATTTAATTTAAATCAAAATTCCAATTGTAATAAAGCTCTCCCACCCCAAACAGGAAAGGACTTGGGGACAATGGGAAGGGGGCTGGGGACACCAGAGCCCCCCCTCCTCAGACAAAGGGAATAAGTGGAGTGAGGGGGTCCTAGAGCTTCCCCTCTGCAGAAAGTGGAGTGATCGGGACACAATGAGTGGGTTAGCGACCCACAGAACCCCCTCCATAGACAAGAGATGATGGGGGGGGCAGGTTGTAGAAGGGTGTTGGGGACCCTAGAGCTCCCCGTACCCAGACAGAGAAACATTTGAGAGGGATAAGAGAGCTAGTGACTCAGAGCTTCCCCTGCTCAGGCAGGGTGTGACTGTGGGCCAGGGACCTTGGGCAGGGGGTGGTTCGCAGGCTGGAGAGCCAGGGTCTCTGGGCAAGGAGTGAAGGGGTGATTGGGTGCAGGTTCCCCACCAGTGGGGTGATGGGCCAGGGCAGAGGACGGGTTTGGCAGCCAGGGCTCCCTGGCAGGGGGTGGTTTGGGGACCCAGGGGATAACGGGATAGTTGGGGAGACAGGGTCCCTCGGCAATCCAGGGGAAGGGCAAGGGGTGATGAGGTGGTTTGGGGGCAAGAGTCCCTGGCGGCCTCTTCTTCGCCTTCGAGTGAGTCTGGGGCCCGCTGCCTCCCGGGGCCCCGGCCCCCCACCCCCTTACCCCGCTCTCTGCCCGGGGCCCCGGCCCCCCACCTCCT